CTACTTACTCTGTTGCTTTCTTTATAATTCTTTAAGTTGTATTGTTAAATAATTTATTACCAGTTTTTCTTGTATGTGTGTGTGTGTGTGTTTTAGGTAGGCCTGTAGTGCTATGAAGTTCCTTCTCAAGACTGCTTTCACTGTGTCCCAGAGATTTTGGATTGTTGTGTGCTCATTTTCATTTGTTTCCAGAATGTTTTTTATTTCTTTTTTGATCTCTTTGGTAATCCATTCATTGTTTAATAGTATGCTATTTAGCCTCCATGTTGTTGTTTTTTTGTTTTTGAGCATATTAATTGTAGCTGATTTCTAATTTCATGCCATTTTAATCCGAGAAGATGCTTGATATGATTTCAATCTTCTTGAATTTTAGAGACTTAGCTTATGTCATAACATGTCGTCTATCTTTGTGAATGACCCATGTGCACTTGAGAAGAATGTATATTCCGTTTCTTTAGGGTGAAATGTTCTGAAGACATCTGATCTAGTGTGTTATTTAGGATTGCTGTTTCCTTGTTGATTTTTTTTGTCTAGAAGGTTTATCCAGTGATGTCAATGGGGTATAAAAGTCCCCTACTATGATCGTATTGCTGTTGATCTCTCCCTTGATATCCCCCAGGCCCTTTTTTATATTTGGATGCCCCTATACTGGGTGCACATATGTTTATCAGAATTATAGCCTCTTATTGTATCGATCCCTTTAGAATTATGAAGTGGCCTTCTTTATTACTTGTTATAGCCTTCACTTTGAGGTCTATTTGGTCAGATATAAGTATTACTACTCCAGCTTCATTTTTCATTTCTATTTGCTTGAAAATTTTTTTTCCATCTCTTCACTTTCAGTCTGTGTGAGTTCTTTGTTCTGGGGTGGGTCTCTTATAGCCAGCATATATATGGGTCATGTTTTCTTATCCATCCAGCTACCCTATGTCTTTTGATTGGAGCATTTAATCCATTCACATTTAAGTTTATTATTGATAGGTACTTGCTTGTTGGCATTTTATTCTTTATGCCTCTTTCCCTTCCTCCCTTTCTATTTCTACTTTTTACAGCAGTCCCTTTAAGATTTCTTGCATTGCTGGTTTGGTGGTAATAAACTCTCTTAGCCTTTTTTTTTTTTTTTGTCTGCAAAGCTCCTGGTTGCACCTTCAATTTTGAATGAAAGCCTTGCTGGATAGAGTATTCTTGGATTCAGTCCCTTGCTTTTCATCATTTTGTATACTTTATGCCATTCCATTCTGGTCTGATGTGTTTCTGTTGAGAAATCAGTTGATAGTCTAATGGGAGATCCCTTGTGGGTAACCTTCTGTCTCTCTCTCTTGCAACCTTTAAGATTCTTTCTTTGGCTTTTACTTTTGCCAGTTTAATTATGATGTGTCTTGGTGTAGGTCTTTTTGGGTTCATCTTGAGTGTGACTCTCTGTGCTTCCTGGACTTGTGTGACTTTTTTCTTCCCAAAGCCAGAGAAGTTTTCTGTCATTATTTCTTCAAATAGGTTTTCTATTCCTTGCTCAGCTTCCTCTTCTTCTGGTACCCCTATTATGTGGATGTTGTTTCATTTCATGTTGTCCTAAAGTTCCCTTAGACTCTCCTCTTGTTGTTTAATTTTTTCCCCAGTTGCTGCTCTGCTTGGGTGGTTTTTCTACCTTGTCTTCTAACTTGTTGATTCTGTCCTCAGCTTCTTCTAGTCCACTGTTGAAATCTTCCATGATGTTCTTTATTGCAACTATGTTATTCCTCATTTCCTCTTGATTTTTATTCATATTGGTGTATTTCTCATTCAGCCCATTATAATTCTCTTTGAGTTGCTTGTAATTCTCATTCAGATGCCTGAGCATCCTTATAACCATTACTTTGAATTCTTTATCTGACAACTTACTTGTCCCCATTTCATTTAGTTCCTTTTCTGGTGATTCTTTCTTATCTTTCATTTGGGGGTTGTTTTTTTGTCTCCCCATTTTGCTGTTTCTTTGTAATTGTTTCTATGTTTTAGATCAAACTGCTGTGCCACCCAGATTTTTTGGATTGTTCTTATGTAGTAGATGTTTTGTGGGACCCAATGGTGCAGTCTCTCAGGTCTCCTGGGCTAGGTGTTCTAGGAAGTTCCCCTACTTGTGATAATTGGGGTATCCTGTTGTGGTTGGGTCTTAAAGTTATTGTCCTATTCGTGGATGGAGTCTCCTCTCTGAGTGTCTGATTATGTGGCTCGTTCCCAACCATGTCATGCCAGCGGTGTGGAGATGCTGACAGAACAGCACAAAATACAACAAGACAAAACATGACACAGATGAACAGAACAAGAATTTACACAAGACCCCATATCCCCACAAAAGTGACCACCAGAGAAAAGAGAATTGGGAAAGAGAAGAGAGAGCAAGAATGATAGAAAAAAAGAAATAAAAAACATGTGGAGAAAATACAAAACAAACAAACAAATAAACCAAAAATCACAAACAAACAAACAAAAACACGCAGAAAGGAGGGGTTGCAGAATCTGTAGATGCAGAGATTAACTAAAGAAAATAAGAATAAAGAATTAGAGGAATAGGGGAAGAATCATGGTTTAGAATAAAGGAAGAAGAAATGAAATGAGAAGACAAGAAAAAAATTTAAAAGGAGAATAGAGGATAGAGCAGGTAGGCCTAAATTTAGAAAGTGAAACCAGTTAAGAAATTAGAAGAAGAATAAAAGAGAAAGAGAGGAGAGATAAAATGTATTTAAAAATTGAGTAGTAAAAAAAAAAGAGAGAAAGGGAAATTGAGTAGGAGCAGGGAAGAGGAAAATTAGATATATGAACAAAACAACAGAGGCTAAAATAATAAAGCAGATCAATTTTAAAAAGGGGGGAAGAAAAAAGAAAGAGAAATACTAAAAAGGAGAAAGAAGAAAAACTGGAGTAAAAAGAGAAGAGAGGAAGAAAAAGTGCAAAAAAAGAAAGAGTGAAGTGTTCATTTCAGCAGAGTTTTAATGCCCCATGGGAGCAGGTTTAGGACCCCATTCTTCTGCTCTGTCTGCCAATTCTGGGTTCCTGTTAGGTACTCAGGTTCTAACCACTACCAGGCACTGTCTTTTGGCTTTTAGCAACCTGCTTGAAGTTCTAAGAGACCCACTGATGTACTGCTTGTGTCTGTCCCCACAGGTCTTGGCTGCAAGCAGGAGGGACCAATCTCCCCTCTAGAGTAGGTTTGTTAGCTGCCTGGGGTCCACGGCTGATTCAGAACACTTCCCCTAAATCCTTGTGTCCCGCCTCTCCCCACCTTTGCCTGTCAGCCAGCTGTCAATCTTAATCACTCAAGAGTCTGTTTCTGACAGGGCTTTGGTGGGGGGGGGAGTTGGGGGGAGGTTGGTGCTGTGGTGCTGTTTCACTTTCAGGGAATAAGATGGGGTATTTTTCCAGTCCCAGAGAAACTCCTCCACAAGTGGCCCAAAATATTACTCTGCCCTTGAATGGACAGAGATCCTTGTATAGAGAACAATGGGGTCAGCTGGGACCCTGGAGTTTTTATCAGCGTGTTTCCTAGAATAGTGGGGCAAATGGCCCCTCCTTTACTCCAGTCACTGAGGGCTCCTTGAGATTTTTCTTACCTACATTTTTCTGTAAAGCTCAAAATGTAGGGTGTGGTAAGCTATATTATCTGGGGCGGTTTTTGTTTTCCTTTATCTGCTCTCTGGGTGTTGGCAGCAGGTAGCTCCTCCCAGGAAAAATGGCTGTTTCAGAAGAGTATAAATGACCCAACGCAGAATTCCTGGCTATTGCTTTTCCAAGTCTTCCTGCCCTGCTTCCCACCAACATCTGTCCTCAGGCATCTCAAGTCTGTGCCTCCCTCCCTGTGCCAATGCTTCAAATGAAAACTCCTGTGCTCTGGGTTTAGAGATTTTTAATAAAGCAATCAAAACTGTGGATCTCTCTCCTATTGGCTCTGATCTGCCCAGTCAATTCTGCTGCTGCCAGCAGTCCTGCTACCTTTCGAAGCTGCTTGGAAGATAGGGGGTGCTGTGGGTCACGCTGCTGCAGGCCAGTTAGCACCACCGGTTTGGTTGCACCAAAGCCCCCGAAGGTGTGTGGAGCCCTGCCTGTGCTCCCAGAACAGCTCATCCTCCTCTCCCAGCTTCCCTGCTCTCTCGACCTCGCCCTTCCTACTGGTCTCCAGGTGTTTTCTGTTCTTCCTTATTATAAGTCATCTCCTTAGCTGGACCACAGTTGGTAATTACAGGTGAATGTTCTCCAATGTAGTTGTATTTCCAGCCTGGCCCTGGGATGAGGTGCCCCATAGGCCTGCCTATTCATCTGCCATTTTCGCTTCTCACCTTGACTACTTTCTAACATTATGATTTCAGGTGCCCAGGAATGCTGTATGTGTATTGTAATTCCATTTATTTTCCCATAAGATTTTGATACTTAATGCTTTCCCCCACTCATTGCTCTGAAAGTTCCCATTGCTCTGATCTTAAAACAGCTCCTCATCTGCCACCACGAAGCCTTCCCTGCTCCTAGACAGCCAACATATGACCCCCGGTCACGAGGTAGTCTTTGGAGCCAACATATCTGATTAATTGTGAGATCATGACCAAGTTTCTTAAAATTTTTCAGAGTCCTGGTATCCCCATTAACAAAGCAGGGATTCATATATGTATTGTAGTGTCATGAAGATCAAATGAGACCATGTATGTAAAGTTTCTGGCATGTGGTAGCTGTTTGTTGAATAAATAAACATTTCATTCTAGGAGACATTTTGAAGAGCTGGGCTTACCAAATATCCAAAGAGTGAATTAAACATCCTAGAAGGGAGGATAAAGCCAGTCATCTGTCTGTGAGTTCTCAGTCTAGTGAATCAAATTATGAATGTCAAATTTAGGGGGAGAAATAGATTTTTACAGATGGTTAACACCACCATAGCTGTGCAGTCTTAGGAATTCTGAACAGAAAATTTAAAAAATGCATTTATGATGATTCCTATGATTAAGTCATAGTTATGACCAGTATCCCATGAATATTGAATTGCTTTTTACAAAAGTATTTAGTTAAAAAAATTGGAACAATACAGAGATTAGCATGGTCCCTGCACAAGGATGTCATGCAAATTCATGAAGCATTCTGTAGGAGATGCAGGAGTCCGCCCATTGTCTTCACTAGCAGAGAAGTTCAAACAAGGATCCCAGAAGGCTGGTGATCCTTGGACCCACGGCAGGGCCTGAGTTATGCACTGATTGTCTAGACAATGGGGGCTGAAGCTATTTCCTGACCAAATAGTCTCAGAATAAATCCTCCTAATATATACTGACCTTTATGATAGCCTGTCTATTACTGCAATTACCTGCCTGACTACGGGTTTTATGTTTAACCAAAGTTGAATAAAAGGCTGGTGAGGCCTGGGCACCGGTGGAGGTCCTTCCCCTTGAGTTGGACTTGCCGGCCTGGCCCCGCAGTAGTTCCAAATTATCTCTTGTCTCTTCTCTTTCATTTGTGTGTGGCTCCTCTTCCAGATCCTGAACCCTGAACCACGCGGGACGTGGGGGGAAACACACATACAACAGCATTCCATATTTTTTTTAAAGTATTTAGATATATTAAATTGCACATGCTGAAAACACTGAAAATAATGTGAGGACTTTGAATGGAATTTCCAACATCGTAACTGCCAGTTGTGGATTAATACTGAGCCACTTAAAGGCCTGACAAGTGTTTGTTTGGCAAGGGTAGAGCCATGTATTGTAGAGGATCTCTGAAATTCAGATACAGGGGTAATCCTAGTTTTCCTTTAATGCTATTATACAAAGAGAAGAAACATAGGATTTACAGATTATACTGGAAATAATACAGAAGATGACTTTGAACTTAACATCCATAGTATTATGTTACCACTTCACCACTTTTTGAAGGTTTATTTTTACATTCATTGCATAATTAGTTGAATTGCTCAAAGTTAAGCCCTCTCCTTTTTCAAGAAAGCACATGCACAAACAACACACACACATACACATGTGCACACACATGCAAACACTTGCACACAAACACATACAAACACATGCACACACACAAACAGACACATGCACACACAGGCATACACACAGATACACATGATGGCCTCACCCCCATCTGGAATCAACAGTGAGAGTCACTCAAATGGGCAGCTCCTACAGCCTGTCCTGTGAGGCAACACTCTGTTTGGTCAGTTCAAACACCCAGAAGAATTTGTCACTGCACAGCTTTCAGAATGTCAGGAAATCAAGACTAGGAGTGAAGAGATGGCTGTGTGATTTCAATGTCTTCCTGAGAGAAGCCACTCCTCACACCATGAGGAATGCTCCTGGGAATCTGCTCTCTCACTTCCAGGAAACTATCGATTGGGCATTGTCTCAAGTACCAAGTGGGCCAAGTGAGGATAGACCAGGATAGACTAAGGACAGATGCTAGCGGGTGAGGGCGAGGGGCTCAGCCCTGAAATTTCCAGGCAAGGATGGATGTTCATTTGCAGTGAAGTCATTCCATATGTAAGTTTCATTAAAAAAAAAAAGCACAACTTGCAAAACCCTGATGTCGGGGGTTTCATCTGTGTGAAAAAAAAGTCCTTGTCTGTGCAGCTGGAAACACAGTTCACATTTGAGGCACAGATCCGGGCCAGGCCTGGGCAGCAAGGCAACCATCTGTGTGGAGAAGCACAGTCACCATAATCTCTAAATGCCCAGGACCCCACAGTGGTGTAGCACTCAGCAAGGTCGGACAGGACTGGATGCCAGCCAGCAGCTCCCTGGAACACTTCTGTGAAGACTGAGAAGAGAACGAACAAAAAAGACGATGGAGAGACCACACACACAGAAGAAAATACCGACAGGATGTTTTTTGTGGAGCAACATGACAACAAGAAGTTCAAAGTTACACATTGCAAAGCCAGGGTTTGAGTGCTCAGAGGGACCAAACTGATTCAGGGCTCAGTTGGATTTGGGAGTTCAGATGAAGGCGGCTGTGGAAAGTATAAGTGAAGCACAGAGGGGACAGCCCTGGAGGGCAGCCTGTTTGGTTTAAACACAGGTCTGTGGGCTTGAAAACATTATTTTAAAATAGTACCCTAAAATTAGGTTCAGACAACTATAATTTCACTTTCAAAATATAGAAAGCAGAATTAAATTTTTATTGTATTCTAAATAACAAAAAATCCCTAACTGCTTCTATTGACCTGCTAAGTCATTCTCATGTGAAAAACAGAAAAATGATTGTGTGACTGTGGGGACCCTGTCTAGAGTGCATCAGTGTTCAAGGTGAGATCCTACTCAGGGTGTTCAAGGCTAATTTGCTATAAGCAGGTGCAAAAGAAAGGACGCAGCAAGCTATTCACTGCACAGGCGTGGCTTTCTGTATTTGGCACGAAACCTCTTTTGTTTAAGTTTGTTTATGCTTGCATATAAGTTACCACTGACCACAACGCAGCCCCGTACAAAATACCAGGTGCGGGCGCGCATGTACAGTGCGATTGAAACTTCGTGGCCCATGCGCAGAAGTCGGTATTTTGTGGAAGAGCCACACTCAAGGGGCCAAAGAGCCACATGTGGCTCGCGAGCTGCAGTTTGCCGACCACTGGCCTAGAGGAATATTAATTTCAAAATTTAATATTCCATGTATGCTTGTCTTCACAGCCTTTCTTTGTGAAAGTGGTCTAGCTGAATGGTAAATTAATGAAATTTGTGACTTAGCACAGTGTATATTTTGGTTGCTTGAGAATGTTAGATTTTGTGATGATGACAGGGCACCCTTCATCATGTTTTCTCAAACACAGACCTACATTTGGCAAAGCACCAGGATGGTGGAAACCTGGAGGGGACCCCAGGCTAGGATGACAAAAGCTCTGTTTATTTGTGATTCACAGGCTGGAGCAGAAACCCTCAAACGATTTCTGTATGAATAGTCCAGGGAATTTGTTAAAAAATACATTCCATACTCACTTATCCCAAAGATTCTGAGTCTAAATGTCTGTGATGGCTCCAAGCACAGGCATTTTGGTTCTTATTATAGAAATTTTAAAACATTTACAAAAGTAAAAAGATTAGTATAATGAACATCCATGTACCCATCACTCGGTTTAAACTCATGGCCTGTGTTGTTTTATCTACAACCCTTGCCCTCTATGCCCCTATTATTCTGAAGCAAATCCCAGACATCATTTTTTCTGTAAATAGTTCAGTATTGAACTCCAAAAGATAAAGACACTTAAAAACAAACAAACAATTAAGGGCACTAGATTAGAAAGGAAGAAGTAAATTTATCTCTTTGTGGATGGCACAATCTTATACATAGAAAACCTGAAAAAAATACATATGCTCAAAACTCTGAGATGTAAGTTTGTTAAGTGAAGTAAAAGGATACAAGAGCAACACAAAATCAACTGTATTTTTATTCATTGGCTCAATAACCCTTCTGCTGCTAGGAAGTGTGGGGAGGTATTTTGAAGTCAGATTCAGCCCTATTTACGTCTCCTCAGCATTGTCACAAAAAGGGAAGCCAGCACCTTGGTTTTCCTGAAAAATGATGACCTCCCCTATTACAGCGTTCCTGAATGGAGGAACCCAATAATTCTTTTTTTAATTTAAATTCTTTATTGGCCGAAACCGGTTTGGCTCTGTGGATAGAGCGTCGGCCTGCGGACTGAAAGGTCCCAGGTTCGATTCCGGTCAAGGGCATGTACCTGGGTTGCGGGCACATCCCCAGTGGGAGATGTGCAGGAGGCAGCTGATCGATGTTTCTCTCTCATCGATGTTTCTAACTCTCTATCTCTCTCCCTTCCTCTCTGTAAAAAATCAATAAAATATATTTAAAAATAAATAAATAAATAAATAAATAAATAAATTCTTTATTGTTTAAAATATTACACATGTCTCCTTCCCCCTCTCCCCCATTGACCTCTCCCTGGCCGTTTCTACCCCCCAGCACATGTGCTCATCCCCCTACTGTCTGTGTCCATAGATTACGCTTATACTAGTAAAAAGCTTCTCTCTTTTTTTTTTTTTTATCCTCACCCAAGGATATGTTTCCATTGCTTTTTAGAGAGAGTGGAAGACAGAGGGAAAGACAGAGAGAAATACTTATTTGAGAGAAACACATCGATTGATTGCCTCCTGCATTAGCCCGGTCTAGGACTCAGGCCGGAGAGGAGCCTGCAACCAAGGTACCTGCCCTTCACCGGAATCAAATCTGGGACCCTTCAGTCTGCAGGCCGGCACTCTATCCACTGAATCAAACCAGCTAGGGCCCGATAGTTTTTAAACTCCAATACTGTGATCAATATCGATTCTTACTTAGTACATTAATTATACAAAGCATCTTAGCTAATCAAATTTTTCTCTGAAAACAGCTAAAATGATTCAAGTCAACAATATCTTTCACTTTGTATGTATATAAACACTCCATTCATGTTGCTGAATTAAATTTTGTTCCTACTAAAATTAAATTAAAAAGAGAGGAAAGCAAGATGCAGTGTGTGCAATCATTGAGGCAGAAAAGAAATCCCTCTATAAAAATTGTTCCAAGAAAGAGTGAACACAGACTAAAAGCTAGAGGACACTCTGAACTAAAATCAAGTCTGGAGTCAGGAGATGTGGGCAAATGTCAGTCAATTGGTGGGAAGTGTTCTCAGGGCTTAAAGAATCAGGAAATGCAGTAGAAATATGTTTAAAATGGTAGCTGCATTTAAAATTTTTGCTTACTTGTATTTTCTGTTGCTGTTGTGATCAGAAAATGTCAACAACAATTAACTCTTGTTTTAAGAAATTGGAGCCCGGCTGGTGTGGCTCAGTGGTTGAGCGTCAATCCATGAACCAGGAAGTCACCCTTTGATCTCTATGGGAACACATGCTAGGGTCCCCAGCAGGAGGGTGTGCGAGGCAACTGATCAATGATTCTCTCTCATCATTGATGTTTCTATATCTCTCCCTCTCCCTTCCTCTCTCTGAAATCAATAAAAACATAAAGATATTTAAAAAAAAGAATTTGAAAATGGACATATGAAGGGAACTGGGGATTCAGGCTAGAGGGGCCACAGGGTCCTGGTCCTGGTAACTCTAGACTCCATCATTGTTATCCTATGCCTTCTGAGTATGTTCACAGATTGTGGTG